TTTATAGTGCAACTGGAGATATTTTGGAGACTATCATGCTCAAACCAGAAAAAACAACATGATTTCAGTCCGACTTTCCTGGCAAGACTCTTCTGGGAAATGTTTGTAGCAAAGGCCTGAAGGAAAGAATTGACAATTTATAGAATTTTTTTTCCAGTTTCTAGCCCCAATTTAATCATTATTACATATTTTATGTTTTCTTGAGCAGAAATTCTTTGCTGTTGACACATCGATTGATTTTAGAAAAGACTAAAAAATGTAACTTAAAACATTCTGAAAAGAGCATGAAAGAGAACAAGCAACTCAAGTTGAACGTAATTTAAATAAGTTGCTTCCTTATAGTGTCTGAAAATTTCAAAATGATCTATTACTAAGAGATGGTGGGAAGACACAAGATGACAGGCAAGGCTAGGGATGGGGAAAACATTCAATCTCCAGTCTCCAAATTACTCCGAATATAAAGTCTTATAAATATGGAGGAATGCTACAGAAAAATAGACTTGATAAAATATGCTTTTATGTCATCTTTTCTTGGCAAACTTTTCCACATGCCAAACCCTACAGCACAAAGAATCTTTCCCTCAAAGTATCTGTAAACATTTGCAATTCCTTGTAGAATGCCAACTGGAGCTAACATATGGTACTATCAATGGAGCCGTCCAGAATGACTGCCCACACAGATAACTTCGCTTTAGCTGTCTCCTCATTCTAGTTTAATGTAGTGTTGGCTAACCCTTCTGATATCTTCCAGCAGGAGAGAAGACAACATGGTTTTCAAATCCCTTTTCAAGAACAGCCTTAAAGTAAGCAGATCACACTATCATCTGTATCAGCTTTGTGATGCTGTAAGTAGTTCTGATCAGTTCTGAAGCATCATTTCTGCTTGTAGCTGTTGATTCTGTATGGTTGCATATGCTGTGCAAACAGCATCTGCAGACAAGCTGGGCATAACACCAGCTGAGGAGAGATGGAGAAACTTAAGTCTCCATTCTGCAGTGGAAGAAGCAGTGTCTTTACTTAGAAAAGTGATATTTTTTCTTGTTTCATGCCTTTTATTACTTCATTTTTGGAATTTTTAAATTAATAGTTTCTAGAATAAAGACAGAGGATGCTTAGAAATGTTGGAATTTGCAATCGATTGTGCAGGAAAATTATTGTGAGCGTGAGCTGGCACAGTGTAATGACAGCAGTGATAATAGCAATACAGACTTCACTCTGCAGGCTTACTGGAAACCAGACAGAGGGTTTAGTGCTTCCGTCAGCTTCTCAACAAAACCCTGCAGTTACATGCGATTACCAGCCTCACTTAACTGATAATGAGGAAGCAGAGGTTAAAAAAATTTTCCAAGGTTATTTACTAAGTAATGGATTAAGATAGACATATTTATACATTTATGTATGTATAAATATATATGTATCTGTAATATATACAGACCATATATATTATTTATATAGGCCATCTATATTATGCATGTCAGTGTCTAGTGTATAGACAGATATATATAACATGCTGGTATATATATATCTCTCTATAAAATATATCATATATATCTATATATAGTATATCTATATATGATACATATATACTATTATATAGAGAATATGTATATAATATATGTATTATATATAGATAATATAGCATATCTATGTCTATAATATATACTATTTATAATTTATAAATAAAATATAAATATAACAAATATATAAATAAATACTATATTATATTATATATTTATATATTCATATTATATGTATTTATATTTCTATTATAAAAATATATGCATATATTATAAATATATCTTATGTATGTATTATATATAGGTACACTATATATAGATATGTATGCTATATATATAGATATACTTTATATATAATACATATGTTTTTATAGTATTTATCTGCCTTACTTAGATGGAATTTTTATATAATCCTAACCTTAATTCAATCTTATGTATGTATTTTTTAAATTTCTTGAACTTCTTTCTGCATACTGTTTGGATAGTCACCACTCTATGCTTTTTTTCCCTTTGCATTAAACTAAAGCCAGCAAGTTTGCCTTATGGCACCTTAAATCTCATGGTGGTTATCACAGCATCTCTAGAATGAAGGTTCCACTGGTGGTAGGAGCCTTGTCCAGTTCATTTCTAACAGTATCTCTGGGAGTGTCTGACATACAAAAAGCATTCAATATTTAATTAACATAATTTGAACAAATTCATAGCCATTTTTGTCTCCAAACAGCCTCCCCACCCTGCTACCACTCCAATGCCTGGGCTTACTGCAGAGAGAAAAGTCATCAATTTTTAAAAAATTAATAGAGAAAGTTTCAGTGAGAGTGATGCTGGGTAAGCCTCTCAGATTTTTCAGGATTTTTGTTTTATTTTATTTTTTTGATTTTTTTTGAGATGGAGTCTCACTCTGTCACCCAGGCTAATGTGCAGTGGTGTGATCTATCACTGCAACCTCTGCCTCCTGGGTTTAAGCAATTCTCCTGCCTCAGCCTCCCTAGTAACTGGGACTACAGGTGCCCACCACCTTGCCAGGCTAATTTTTGTATTTTTAGTAGAGATGGGGTTTCACCATATTGGGCAGGCTGGTCTTAAACTCCTAACCTTGTGATCCACCCGATTTGGCCTACCAAAGTTCTGGGATTACAGGCATGAACCACTGCACCCAGCCAGGATTCGTATCTGTAAGGCAGGGTTACAACCAACTTCACAATGCCAACTGAATCATTTATCATTATGTAACGAATCTGAAAATATTCTGTAAACTTAATCATATCAATATGTTCATATTATTTTATAATCACACCTTCTGTGACTAATTTTAGGTATTTACTGCCACAGAATAGAATTGGCATTGTTAATACCCAACACAAACCCTTAAAATATTTTTATTCTAATAAAGAAAAAGGCATAAGCAAAGCATGTGAAAATACAAGCAGTAGAAGAGTAGCATGATGGAAAGTGACTCCGAAGGGAAGAGGTCACTGGCAGGGTCTGTGGAAGAGCAGGACCGAACCCCTCCTCCTGAGGATGCATGCTCAAGGGCATCACCTTATCTTGCAGAGAGGGACGGGGGACATCTATCTGGTTCTCAGTTAAGGAGCTTTCAGCAATTTGCTTCTGTGATTCTCTGCTCTCAGCTTCAGTCTTGCGGACTAAAAGTAAGGGAGTGAAGAAGAAATGTCAGCAAGATTCCTCTGACATCTAACTTTATGATGCTCAAATGTCCCAGTTCCTACCATGATTTCAACATGAATGATGGTCTTGCCTTTATTTTGTTAGGGATAGTTGCTCCCCAAATTCCAATCATCCTTTTAAAACAGTTAGATACAAAGTCCATTTTTCTTTCCCAAGCCAAGAGGGCAGTTAAACTTATGTTGAGACGGGAAGCAAAGGCTCTGGGCATTAGCATCCCACAGTAGTTTGTGCCTGCACTGCAGGCACCTCTAGCCAATCATTCCCATGCTGTCTGTGGGGAAGGTGAGAGTGAGAACAGTAGGCACTGCATTTTCCCAGTGAATACTTTCATGATTTTCTTTCTTTTTTTTTTTCTTGAGATGGAGTTTCACTCTTGTTGCCCAGGCTGGAGCGCAATGGCACCATCTCTGCTCACCACAACCTCTGCCTCACAGGTTCATTCAATTCTCCTGCTTCAGCCTCCCAAGTAGCTGGGACTACAAGCATGTGCCACCACACACAGCTAATTTTGCATTTTTAGTAGAGATGGGGTTTCTCCATGTTGTTCAGGCTGGTCTCGAACTCCTAGCCTTAGGTGATCTGCCGGACTCCGCATCCCAAAGTGCTGGGATTACAGGACTGAGCCACCACGCCTGGCCTCATTTGAGTTCATGAAGTTCACAAACAGTTTAACAGTAAGTACTATTTATTGGGTGCCTACTTCTTAGGCACTGTACTAACTATATTATGTATATTTTCTTTCACATTCATGGGATTTGGGAAATGAATAAATCTGTTAGAACATGCTAAACTGATGCTAAGAGAGGTTGTTAGTACATTGGTTACGATTCACACCACATGGAAAAGAGAGGGCTGTGGTGCACACAAGTCAGTCTCGAATGACAGAATGAGGATTGTTCAACCCTCAGGCAGACACTGGCAAAGGTCGATTGATTCCATAGCACTATGAACTGAATGTCTGTTTAATGATTTAAACACTGTGATGATATTTGGAGGCAGGACTTTGGGGAGGTCATTAGGTTATGAGGATGCAGCCCCCATGCAATGGGATTAGTGCCCTCAAAAGGGAATAAAGAGATTGGAACTCTCCCTCTCTGTGTGCCATGTGAGGACATACCCAGAGGTCAAGCATCTGTGAACCAGGAAAAGAACCTTCACCAGAATGCAACCATGCTGACACCCTCTGCTCATACTTCCAGCCTCCAGGCCTAGGAGAAGGATGTGTTTTTAAGCCATTCTAGTCTATGATATTCTGTAATAGTGGCCTGAGCTAAGACGTGAAATGAACGACATTTAAACAGCATTGCCCTCTGCACCAAGGGTTCCAAACCCCAGGGCTGTGGACTGGGACTGGTCTATAGCCTGTTAGGAACGCTGCTGCACAGCAGAAGGTGAGCAGCTGCAAGGGAGTGTTACCACCTGAGCTCTGCCTCCTGTCAGATCAGCCAGGGTATTCTATTCTCACAGGGGCAGGAACCCTATTGTGACCTGTGCAGGAGAGGGACCTAGATCGTGTGCCCCTTATGAGAATCTAACTTATGCCTGATGATCTGATGGGGGACAGTTTCATTCTGACACCATCTCCACCTCCTGGGTCCATGAAGAAAATGTCCCTGGTCAATTGTTCCTGCACCAGTCCCTGGTCCCAAAAAGGTTGGGAACTGCTGATCTACGTGAGCACTCCATCTTACTGGGATGGGCCTTAGCAGTGGATTTCCACAGTTATGTTATACATATTTGTAAAATACATAAACATAACTTTATTTTTATTAACGTGTGTCTCCTCCTCAAATTTTAAAAGCTTCAGAGTCCACAAATGGATGTGCCTCTGCTGATTCGGGCTTCAGTTCAGTCCCTTTATGCCTGCCTCATATACCCTTCAATCCTGGGAAGGTGGCTCCTGGTGGCTTGAACGTGAGTTTAATTTAGTCTTCTCTCAGTGTCTGTCTCACTGTCTCTTTCTGTAATATACACATGCACATACCACTTACACATACACACACACACACACACACACACACAGTCTGGCTAAGCAAAATACATGGAGTACTTAGCATATATTAACGTTTAGTGCAATTTTGTGCTAACATTACTACACTCAAAGAACTTTGATCAGTGAGATCCAACCAGTGTAAACACAGATGGGAAGACACTATGCAATCAGGCCTCAAGTATTCAGGTAAAATTCTTGGACACTGGATTATTTGTGGATTAGTCTATCATGTAGATTATTATGAGGTATGGATACAGTATTTTACATTCTAATATAATTAAGCAAGAAATGGTTATGGATTCAACTGAATACCAATTTTTTTTGTTTGCAAGCAAACACATTACTTTCACAAAACACCTTTTCAAGGTCGAATACTTAAGTATATTTTCAAAGAATATTCATTGAAGTTAATATTAACTACTGTAACACTATACAAGGTATAGAATTTTTAATTTTATTTTTAAGTCTTTAATAAGATAAATGAATTTTATTACATGAGTTATATTAATGAATGTATTACCTCAAGGAAACATTTAACTATGACTACAAAAAATTAAAATTGTGTTGAAAGTTACCTGTGCGATGCTGAAGAAAAGAAATCTGGTCTAAAAATCTCTACAGTCAGGCCACAGGGTTTGTGGCAGAGAGATTTGCTGGGTTAATAATTGCACTCCTGCCAGAAACAATAATTGTACAGAAACCCTCTATTTTCTAGGTTAGGACAAAATTAACTGAGTCTTAGGCACTCTGAACTTGCTCTGCTACTGCCACTGTTGCTAGCCTAGCATGGAATATGAGCCTATGGTTCACATTTATATCTGCTTAATATGTGGTTTCTACATATTAAGAGAAAGATAGCCGTATCACAAATATTGGCTGCACTAAACAAACCCTCAACAATTTTGTTGCTAAGAATTCCTCAGTTGCAGTGTTTAGATCCTACAAACCACCACACATCTGGTTCTAATGCAAAGAATTCCCACTGCTATCAGAGAGAATATTACAGGAGAGACATTAAACCCATCATTGCTGAGTTCTCACAGTACAGGATGACAAATGAAAAATAGAGTTGGAAGAGCTGTCTGTTTTCCTCATGTGACACCTAGCAGAACATCTGTAATGGGATTAACAGGATTCCTCCCAGTCTGAGTCAGAAGCATGCCTGCTTTATCAGCAAGATGTATCCCTCTACTCCACTTAATTGTTTTCCCTGGGATAGATGTAGGATCTGATTTATGAACAACCAGGGAATCAAATATGCACACTCAGAGTGGAAGGGCAGGTTAAAGAACTATGAGTATAATGTTACGAAAGTGATATTTTCACTGGAGTCACATGGAAAAGACAGAATAAGCAAGTGATATAAAATAAAACTGCATGGCCGTGCAGCCATGACCTGTTGTTTTTGCTGGTCCCTAAGAAATGAGAGCTTGACACTTAAATTAAGACAAGGTATGATAAAACATGAATACTCTTTCTCCCAAGTAGAAGTTCGAATGATCTTTAGACCCCTAATAACAGCATTCTCTGCTTCTCAGAGACATCTTTCTGTTAACCATGAATTCCAATTTCCTTTTAAGTATTGTTAAAATATAGTGATACCAGGAAAAATAATACATACAGCCCTAGGTGACCAGCGTGCAAATGAAGTTAGCCCCTATGCTTCGTATGATGTGTAGTTACTAGTTCATTCTTATAAACATGAGAAATGCATTAACATCTGAGATATTCTCTGTTCCTTAAGTCTTAGCAGTCATTTACTTTGTGGAGACAGGATGATAAATAATATTAATTAGCTTAATTTAAATGCCACAGGGTAAATATTTTAGGTCATATATATTGGTGCACTATTTTTAAAAACATTGCCAGAGATAGGCGAGTGTGTTTTACATACACAAAGTCTATGCAAATTCTTCAAGCAATGATATATGATTAATTGAAATCATTTATAACCTAAATATGAACATTTTAAAATCTCATTAACAAGTTCCTGGGTTTTCAGATACTTCTAAGAAAATTATTTTACCAGCTCCTAATAAACTGAATTTGACAGAAAAAAAAATTATAGCTCCTTATAATATAGAAAATCTGGGATATATCATTATATATATTCTTGCTTTTGTTTATCAAAATGTAAATAATGTGAATATTAAAATGAACAATTATAAAATTTGTTGTTGGAATCTACAATTTTGGTGACAATTGTATTGAAAAACTCCTCGTCCCTCCAAGCTCAGCTTCAAGTACTTCAATTCAGTCTTTGATTCTCTCTTCTGAGACTTTGCTGAGTCACCTGGCCTTATTCAGCTGCATTTTATGGATCATGATATCAGGGTGGACCCATCGGTCACATAGCACTTTAATATCCCACAGTTGATTGTTGCCAATTGCACTCTTCTCATCCTTTCTGGGCCCCTCCCAGTGTAGGTGTATGGGGGCCCTGACTATTGAAGAACCTGAAATAGACACTTCATAAGTGTGAGGTGAATAAGTAAATGAGCACTGAATGAGTGAACACACATATAAATATATTAATGCACCAGGAGAGGCACAGTATGGTTACTACTCCCACCTATACTTGCAATCTTATGAGTCTAAATTTTAAAAAGTAATAATGTAATGGAAAATAAAGTAAGTTAAAGTGTTAAAAATACCCACATATTGATCAGTTCTAAACATTGTCTAATGGGAAGTACGAATATCTGGGCCTTTAACTGAAAGGCCTCTACAGGCTCTGAATAGCCTCCCTACTCAGGCTTGTAATTCACAGATTTTACCATATTTTCATTATTTTTTCTCAACAACCATATGTCCTGTCTTCTCTTACCATATAGACAAGCTCAAACTACTTGTTCCTTTCAAATTTTATCAACAACTGACTCAACTTCAATTCAGGGTAAATGCAAACATCTACCAGCCCTGCACACATCCACATAGCTCCTGACGGCTTCCTGTTTAATTTACAAAAAGTGAGCAGTGTGCAAAGAATACCCACCTGTATCTTTTTCCATCACATCTACCCACTTGCCAATATATGATGCCTTACACTCAGTGTATTGTGAATACACTGTTCACATAGGTGGTTTAAGATAACACAAATATATAATCATATAATTGTGGAAGTATTTTCTAAAGTCAAGATGCTGGCATAGTTGTTTGTTGATGGAAGCCTCAGTGAAAAATCTGTTTACTTGCCTCTCCCAGCTTCCAGGAGCTGCTTACAAATGGATCCTTGGTCCCTTCCTCATATTACTCCCACCTCTGCTTCTGTTGTCACATTTATGACTGACTCAGACCCTTCCACTCCCTCTTATAGGACCTTTGTGATTACATTGGATGCACCCAGATAATCCAGAATAATCTCTCCATCTAAAGACTTTTCACTTAATCAACCTGCAAGGTCTTCGTTGTTGCTGTTGTCATTGTTTTGCCAGGTTAGGTAGCATGGTCACAAGCTCCTGGACTTAAGACTTGGACATCCCTGGAGGACCATTCTTCAGCACATCACATCTCTCATTAAAAATAAAAGATGCTGCTGGCCTCGCTTCTCCAGGCACAGTCTAATCTCCGTGTCATCCTTGACATGGAAACCCCTCACAAAGTTGTCACTACTTTTTGTCTCTAATTCTTTTCTTCTTACTGTCTCTCGAGCCCGTTTGGAAGCATTCTTTCATTTCCACCACTCCTCTGCTAAGGTTCTTTCATGCCCACCAGCATCAGCACTGCCGGTTCCTTGGATCAGCCTGTCTTCTGAATTAGTCCCATCAGCAGCATCTAACAGAGACTGTGAATATCTTCTTTGATACCTTGTTTTAGGATTTTGCCTTCTCCTGTGTATTCTTCCACCATCTTATTTTCCTGTAGTGGTTCCTCTCTTTATCCTGTTATCTTTACAGTATTTCTGGGCTCAACCTTTGAATCATTCATCTCAGTCTACACACTCATTCCCTTGAGGATTTCATCTGGTCTTTTGATTATGAACACCAATCAGATGAGAGGCTATGCATTTTCCCCAAACATCCCCATGCAATCTAGACTCTTCTTTGGCCAATAGACATTATAAATGGAATTTCCAAAGCATAAATGCCTCGTCTTCCCCTCTAAACGCCCTCTATGCTCAGTGCTAACTCAATTTTAAAAAAATTTATTAAATCCTTATACTCATTCCTGACCTCTCTTTTTCTCTTAAATCCCCAGTGCAATCACCTAGTAGATCCTCTGGTTTCCACTTTAAAATTATACCCAATATCTGGACATGCAGCACTCCTTCCAAGCCTCTATCATCCCTTGCCTGGGTTATTGCAATAGCTGTGAACCCCTCTGTGTGCATCTATCCATTTTCTCTGCAGGATATTCTCAACATTGCTATCAGAAGATCATTTTAAAATGTAAAGTCAGATCCTGAACCTCATGCACGGAAATGTTTAAGTTCTCCCTATATTATGCAAATTATAAGTTAAAATGTTGGCTGGGTGCAGTGGCTTATACCTGTAATCCAAGTACTTTGGGAGGCCGAGGAAGATGAATCACCTAATGTCAGGAGTCCGAGACCAGCCGGCCCAACATGGCAATACCCTGTCTCTACTAAAAAAGAAAAAATAGCCAGGTGTGGTGGCAGGTGCCTGTAATTCCAGCTACTCAGGAAGCATAGGCAGGAGAATCACTTGAATCTGGGAGGAAGAGGTTGCGGTGAGCCGAGATCCAGCCACTGCATTCCAATCTGGGCAAAAAGAGTGAAACTCAGTCTCAAAAAAAAAAAAAAAAATTCACTATAGTCTGCAAGGCTCAAAAATACATACATAAATAAAAAATATTCTTTCTGCAGTTACTTTTCTTACTTTATCTCCTTACCCTTTCTCTTGTGCTTGTTCTTTTCTGGCCACAATGAATGGGCCAGAGCTGTTCTCACCTTCAAGTCTCACCCATCTCCAGGTATCTGTAGATACTGACTCACTACGTCCAGAGATTTGTCCTGGTACCTCCTTCTCAATGATATCTATCCTGACTGCCCTGCTTGAAATCTCACCCTACTCTCAACGTCACTCTCCTACATAGTATTTACCAGCTGCACAACATTAATTTCACTTATTTTGTCTCTTGTCTATTTTAGTGAGGCCAGAGATTTACATTGATTTTGAAAACTGCTTACTCCTGGTACTCAAAACTTACTGGCATATTTAGTAGTTGCTCAATAAATATATGTTGAATTGAAAAAAAAGAAACTAGTGACAAAGGCAAACACATAAGCAGATATTACACAAGGTAGTAATTAGCAATAAAGATATTTTTATGAATTCATAGATGCCTCAAGAAAGGCGCTGTTTGTGACTGTGGCTATGGAATATGTAATTTACTAAGACATTTTACTGCCTTCCATGACTATCATGGACATTAAACAAGTACATTTACTTGTATCAATCATGACAGAATCTATCCCAATAAGGAGTGAAAAGCATGCTATGTTGCTATGCAGAATGGATCACATACAAATGGAAGGCTATTGAAACGTGCATGAAGACGCATCACAAAGCTTCAGATTAGGAGTGTTGAGCACTTTCACTTTGGATTTAGTATCAACACAAGCAGAGATAAGGAAATTGTGAGTAGGATACTTTGTAGCATAAAATAAATATAAGATGATGAGGGAAATAATGGTTTGTATATAAAACTTAGGGCCAGAATATAATAGTATACGAAAATCAGTAGATCATAGAAAGAGAATCAAAACAATACCAACAATGTCAATACTTCTCTCAATTCCATGAAAATGAGATTTCTTTAATCTTCATAAAGATTCACAAGAAGGTAATATTATTAAGTGAAGGGTCATTGAGTCCCTTGTCCAGGGTCTATAGCCAGCAAATGGTTGAGATTTGTTTTTCTTTTGCTAAAGGTCAGGCAATTCCCTGGTTCTCATTAGCAAAGAGATACACTGAAAAATGTTCTGTGGGTTGGTGTACTGCTTGTAATGGCACTTTAGAAAGATTAATTTAACAGGAGAGGGCAGGAGGCCATGATAAGAGGTGAGAACACAAATCAAAAGGTAGTAGTGTTCCACTGCGTGACTATAAACAATTTAAAAGGAAATGGTGGCAGGAATGGGGTGGCTTGAAAAAGAAAGAATACATTCAGTTGAAAGGAAGTTGTCAAAAATAAAGAATTTTAGTCTCTAAAATTTAGAGAGGATGTCCCTGAAAGGGTTCTATAACACCATCAATTTAATTCAATTCCAATAATAGAAACCAAAGGTATCATCTTCATTCCAGGATATAGTATAGTTTATGCATATATGTCAAGACAATGACTAACTGTAGGTTTAGCCCCCAGGCTGACAAATCTTAGCATCATTGGTGTGGTTCTTTTAATTTCCCATAAATCTTGTCACTCAGTTTCACCTATCAGTGTATAAAAACGTTGATTTATATGCACCTTCTTAATCTAAATTATATTTTTGAAAAATTCCCAATTGCCTCATATTATCACTTTCAATTTAAATATTTGAAAACTGAAACTCTAAAAACATAAGTGATTTACACAAGAAAACACTGCTTAATATTGTAGATTGGAAAATGCATATTTCTTAAAGTTTTTTTTTTTTTGTACCAAACCATGGTGCCTTAGATGATCCCTAAAGCTGGCAGTGTCTCTCCTGACTTATTCCAAATTTCAGCCTTACCACAACTTCAGCTTTACCATGTGAACTTTAGGTGCAGGGATTAACACATCGTGGTGGTAAACATTTCCCTTGACTTATTGATTTGATTATTTTAGGGAATGTGCATCTCAAAAGAAGGCTGCAGGCTGCTACCACCTGAAAAAGAAGAGCTACCTGGGAAGGTGAATATTTATATAATTTCTTTATACGTCAGTAATAATTGTCATAACCTATAAACTAATACATATATAAGAATATATACTAAAATAGAATTTTTTTTAAACATGCTTCTGTCGTGCCTCTTTCTCAGCTGTGATTATAATATGAATGTGTTCCTTTTAAGTGATGGATAGAGGAATTATTTTTCACATTTGCTGGAGAAGTGATTTTTGCACCTCTAGCAGTATTTTATTTTAATATAATCATGTCATTGCTGTGAAAACGTATAGTTTGCTCTTTTTATGATTTAAGGGAAGTTGTTTTCTGAAACTCAGGCATCGTAGTGCATCTGCTGTAATTACACTTCCACAATTATAGTTTAATAAGCTGTGAAACACCTACAGGTCCTACACATGGTAACTTCTGTGACTGCACAGACATTAGGTAGACACTGGCATATGTACTTCCAGGATTCAAAACTGCAGCAAGTGTTTTAATGGTTCACATTAGTAATGGTTGAGTACACACATATCTCATACGTTGAAAATATTTAAAACCCAGTTAACGCTTTCCTAACTGAATTTTCATCTTCCCGACAAGTAAGTGACAGGATATTCCTCCTTTCTGAGTTCCCTGAAGCACGCTCTTCTCATAGTTTTTGAATTCCAAAGCAGAAATTATTTTTCTTCCTTTGTTCAAAGTAAGAAAGTCCCTTTGTCCTTTTATGTACCTAAAATTTATTGACTTAACATTTGAATAAATACATTTGGAAAAGAAATTTGAACTCCTAGGAAGCCTCAGTTTCCTGTCTTATAAAAGTAGGATAATTATATCAATATTACTGGATTAGCTTAAGAATATGTGAGTTAAAGAATGTAAAGCAATTAGCAAGGCGGGTAAAGTGGCAAATGCTGTTTTGTGCTCTTGATGGCATCAAAACACACCTGCTCACTGTTTCTAGTGTGCCCACAGTGTGTTCTTTGGCCTTTTTTTTCTTGAGATAGAGTTTTGCTCTCCGTGCCCAGGCTGGCGTGCAATGGCATGACCTCAGCTCGCTGCAACCTCCACCTCCTGGGTTCAAGCAATTCTCCTGCCTCAGCCTCCCGCGTAGTGGACCCACCATCATGCCCAGCTAATTACTGTATTTTTAGTAGAGACAGGGTTTCACCATGTTGGACAGGCTGGTCTTGAATTCCTGACTTCAGGCGATCCACCTGCGTTGGCCTCCCAAAGTGCTGAAATTACAGGTGTGAGTCACAGCACCTGTCCTTGCTTTTGCTTATCATATTACCTTACTTATGTATAGCGATATCATGTTTGTGAATCTGTGTGGTGTTTAAAAAGGCAATAATGCCAACTATTACATAGGTATACTTTTAGCTGCTCTGTCGATTCCACCTAGAAGACAGCTGTCTAGACAACTGCCAGATAAATATAATGGTAACCACTGTGTATATGACATAGTCCACTTCATTCACCTGCACATAAATGGCTGGCTGTTGGCCAAGGCAATGGCTCAGAAAAGTCATGCCATCTCAGATTCTGAGTCTTTGTAAATCTAGATAAAGTACTTGAAAGCAGGCTTGGGAGTTAGCCACTGAATGTTTGTGAACATGTTGGGTTTTATGCTCTCTTCAAGTCCCATAGAAACAGGACAGTTTCTGAATGGGGTCCATCTACTATTCATGGTGAGTTATTTCAAGCAGTCCTTTCAGCTGAGACAAGGACACTAAGGAAGTTCATCAAGAGTGTATGTTTTAGATTTTGTCTGTCCAAATATATTAAACAAGCCTGCAGATGCAAACATTTGCTTGCATCCATCAGAAGCTCCAACACCCTGAACCTCAGAGGAAAGTCGAAATTTTCCATGCAAATTAGTAGGAAAAAAAAGGTTTTTGTTGTGGTTGTTTTTTTTTTTTTTTTTTTTTTTTTAAAAAACATCACTAGTAGGTTTAGATAATGCCAATTTTCCTTCCATGGTGGGCAGGCCTCTGCATCGCTGCACTCTTTTTACAGATGTCTCAGGGGTGACGACACAGAACAAATGAGCACCTGACTATGGACAGGGATTTACTGCATGGGGCAGGGAGCAGGAAGCAGTGGAGAGCATGCCAATCTCAGCTCCACGAGTTAGTGTAGATCACTAATAGGCAAATTTCTCTACCCACCAGGACATTAGGGATACTCTTTCATTTGTCATATTCTCTCTCAGCCTAACAGCCATTTCTTTGTTGGAAATTTATAGAATATTTCTTTGCTTGCTAATTTTTAGTTTAGAGAATGAAACTTTCACTTTAGGGAACTAAGATCAACCTCCATATCAACTTTTATAAATGATGCGAATCTGTATCCATTCTCCTTCAGCTAAAACAGAAACTCCTATGACATAAATGTTATCTCAGTTTTACTCCATCTTTTTATTTGAATACCCCAGGTAAAATATCTCAAACACTCAAAAACCACTAGAATAGTATTTCCCTAACTTTGCATGGCCTGCGGGTGAAAATTGATGTGAAATGAAATCACCAAGATAAGATTGTTGTGAATAATACGCATACATAGGCTGGGTTTCTAGGATGTGACATCATTTCCCAGATTGAGGCAAGTGCAGTCTCTGTAACGAAGCTTTTTAAAGGTTTCCATATTTTTCAGCTTTATACTAGTAGCTGGATTTATGAGGCACTATTTAAAAAATGTGTGGCAGTCATTCTGATTGTTTTGATGCAAGATAACCTGGCATATGACAAGGTTCTGGTCGCTTTGTCTGGATAGTTAGAAATTGTATAAAGAGTTTTATTAACTCTTTCTCAGACACACTGTAAATATTTAGATTTTTTTAAAGTTTGAGTTGTTTGGTTCGAAGAGGGCAATATTACCTTTTAAATTATTTGGACTGTTTTTTTTGATCACACAGAAGTATGCTTTATTTTTCAAAACCTAAGTAGAGATACAATGTAATACAACTTGGTACGACTGTAGCTTCCATGTCTAGGGAAGTATGTCTGTTAATGTAATTGATGGTTACACCAATGCCAACATGTATCTCTTACCAAAGAACTAAATAAGAGAGGGCAATAATTTCCTGGAAAGACTCTTGCCTCCTCATTTAAATATTGTGACTTCCTCTCTGCATGTGAAAAAAATCTCCAAAACAATTCTTTTATACATGCTCCAAAATTACAGACAATCTCTAAACAAACCGCATTTTTTTCAATGAATTGGATCAAGGTTCAGCACAAATTCTGCCCCTTGGGGAATGTTTGAACATGACTTTGAACACAAAATTCCCTCTATCATTTGATTTCCATTACATTTTCTAATAGCACTTTTCCGTTTAATATTCCTAAGCTATTATTACTGTCTAAGTGATCAATGTTTTATTGTTACATTTCCCCAAAGAGAAGCAGTTGTCATCTTTGTAGAAACCCAGACTGTACTCCAAGTCCATAAAACTTGTTCCATAAATGCTTGTTCAATGCCTGATTGAATCATATGATTTTACTAAAGTTACTTTGCCTCGTAATTATGCTTTATGTATTCCATTATGAAAATGAGTTCTAATTTTCTCATTGAATAGTAGAGATGTATTTCCTAGGAAATTATTACCCAACAGACTAGAATACAAGGTGATGTGTATGGAGAGGAAAAAATGCCTTTGAGCAGTGCTCAGTCAAATAATCTACCCAGAGTTGAGCAAGAGATGATGGCATTATTCAGGTTGTTTCCTGTGGAAAGGAGAGTTGTATTTTTTAAAGCTCTCATGGTCTTCCAGTCAGTGTGAGCTATATAAGCATGTAATCCCTTGTAAAACTGATGAGTGCTATAAAATCTGTAGTTGAAATGTGAGGACTTATTCACATAATATTTATGCATTCATAAATATTAAAGATTTTTTAAAATCTGCAATACAATAAAGATTCCACAGATTACTTAGCTTGTAAGTAGCAAATAATCAATCTGAGGATTTGATATCTTTATATATTGTGTAAATTTGACTTTCATTTGAAAATCTATGGGATAGATTATTTTAATATTCTCTTGAAACTATCTGGAAAATATAAAGATTAAACATAAACATAGGAGAACAACCCCATAATCTAACTAAAGATCATGATCTCCTCTAAGTAATCTTTTGCTGATATACAACATCTCTAAAACATCAGATTCATCACATTGTATTCTAAATGATATTTTCACTAAAAGTTTTGGAAGTATGTCAAACCAAGTTGAATTCAAGGAAGAAAGCTTTGAAAGATGTATAAATGGTTGTCTTAATATGAATTAAAGATACACCTACATGCAACTTACATCATAGATGACCTACTATTGTGTCAAATAAGCTCCCATTGAAATACATAAGCAATCATATACCAGTGAAAATGTCAGCAAAACGATGTTACATGGAAAGTAACCAAAACATAGAAAATGTGACCAAAGCAGAGCCCCGCTGTCTATAGTAGCAAAGATGAAGGTTATCATTTTCTTTACTTTTGTCTGATTTAGTCAGCAGACAATAAACAGCAATAAAGAAAAGCCAAATAAACACTATAACTTATTTCTAAGTAATAAGAACCTAAAAGTGCTGGAAGAAAGTATTTATATAGAAAATGGTATAGCCTTTTGGAGAGATAGGCCTTTTCACGTGAAACTTTAAAAGAAGAAACTTGCAGGAAAATACTGGGATTATTCGAGTACATGAGATTTATAAACTTTTGCACTGTGAAAAAAAAGAAAGATTAAAAGATACACTTAAAAATTTGGATAATTGGCATGAAAGAAAAATGGTGAATAAACTTAATATCTGTGGAGTTAGCGATTATAGGAAAAAAATAACAGAATTTGAGAAGAGGTCAGCAATGGGTAATTGAGAAAACAACTGTGTATCATTAATAGACATAAGAAAACACACTCAAAATTTCTACTATTTCAAACCTGGGTTATGTCTGAGTGTCCCCCATATATGTCTAGGGAAGGTCCCATGGTCCACCCTTGGCACTAGGCTCTTATGACCTCCACGGCCTCAG